CCACATCAATACATGTAGCAAGGATTCCGTGACCATAAGCTCAATGAAAAACAAGACAATTAGGAATCCCAAGAAAATCGACTTGATCACCGAGAATCTTGCTGTTACATTAAATCTCAGTTACTATAAAGTTTAAGAATAATCACATCTATATCAATAATCAGTAAGTTAACACGACCAGCCGCCCTAACCAACATCGATTACAATATCTTGATTATCAAACTTTAATTCATTTCGGAGCCAGACGTCTTAATGTGAACACGAACCAGCAAACAAAAGATACCTTATTTATCAGTCGAAATCAATAATAATCACCTAATTACAACCCCCAAAGTCAACAAGGGATTCCATATCAATTCTAAACAGGAGAACCACCAGATTTCATGGTTATCCAACCTAGAATAAATACAAAATTTCTTAGTTACAAGTTGGGTGGTGGTGGAGGTAGGGGAAGTACACAAGCTAGCTGGCTGATTGCAGGTAGGTAAGCACTATCAGGTACTCCAAGTGAACCCCGGCAGAGGTCTTGTTTATAAAAACTTATCGGAGGCTTATCAGCACTCAACCTGTCTCTACCCAACCCACACCACATCTATCACGTCTTCCACAACTATAACTAACATTCATCATGTCTTCCACCACTATAACTAACCCCCATCATGTCTACCCCCACTATAACTAACCTTCATCATGTCTACCACCACTATAACTAACCCCCATCATGTCTACCACCACTATAACTAACCCCCATCATGTCTGTCTACCACAACTATAACTAACCTTCATTATGTCTACCACAACTATAAGTAACCCCATCATGTCTACCACCACTATAACTAACCCCATCATGCCTACCACAACTATAACTAACCCCCCATCATGTCTACCACCACTATAACTAACCTTCATCATGCCTACCACCACTATAACTAACCCCCATCATGTCTACCACCACTATAACTAACCTTCATCATGTCTACCACAACTATAAGTAACCCCCATCATGTCTACCACCACTATAACTAACCCCCATCATGTCTACCACCACTATAACTAACCCCATCATGTCTACCACCACTATAACTAACCCCATCATGTCTACCACAGCTATAACTAACCCCCATCATGTCTACCACAGCTATAACTAACCCCCATCATGTCTACCACAGCTATAACTAACCCCCATCATGTCTACCACCACTATAACTAACCTTCATCATGTCTACCACCATTATAACTATTACTATCACGTTCGCCACCTCTACTATGTCACTCCGTCATCATATGTAACCATTACCATTAACAGCCCTCCAAGCGTCGCTACGTCTACCACCACCATTATCACCAATTACTAACACTACCATTATCATCAATTACTAGCACCACTATAATTACTAACAACTATTAACACCACCACTACCATCACCACGTCTACCACCACCACGTCTACCCACACCACCACCAAGGCAACACAAATTATAGGCGTTTCTCCATATAACCTGCATATTATCAATGATACGATATATTACAGTGGAAACCAGGCAGATGTGTCCATAAAAGTTGAACGGAGACTCAGTACGTGAAGAAACAGGAACAGTTCAACCATTCCTTAAAAATATTGATACACAAGAAAATAAAGAGTCTGCAATAGGCCGGTTGGTCTGTGCATGGCAGCTCCTGTCGAGAGTTGCTACCACTCTCTATCATCCATGAATCTATCTAGCTTCCTTTTGAAACTTCCCAGCGTTCCAGCACTTACTACAAAGTTGCCAAGCTTGTTCCACTCGTCCACCACCCTATTTGTGAATCAGTTCCTTCCTATCTCCCTCCTAAACCTAAACGTATCCAACTTAAATCCGTTGCTTCGATTCCTATCCTGCTCGGATATTTTAAGAACTTTATCTATATCTCCTTTATTGATTCCTTTCACCCACTTAAATACGAATATGTTACACGCTCAAAACATAAAAATCTCATTTATAAACAAGCGTTCGATTAGGACGAAAATTGTCATGTTAAAAGATATATAAATAAAAATAATACCAATGATAAAGTTTGGCCACCCTTTTACACGCGCACAAAAACAAATCAAGTACGTTGTTGTTATGCTCCAGGTAGTCATGAACTTGGAGGGTAAAAGTTCAACAACAGACAAGATCCTCATCGTGTACAAAGACTAGGGATAACTTTACTTAGTGACACTCACATTTATCAGGAGACTACTTCAAATAATCCAGCCGATTATTGAATGGACTCGTCAGTATACATCTTACTTTAGTATTTAATATTAAAGTAATGGTTATAACACCGGACCCAAATAAACAACATTATGTTTACATTCTCAAAACACAAGTGCAGATGCAGGAGAGAAAATTACTACATCTTAGTATATTTGACTCAAAACTGTGCGATATTTGCCATTATATGAGGTCAAAGGTTTACCCACCTCAAATTGCCTCATCTCAAGTAAAATAATCTAAAGTCCCAATGCGGTTTTTGCAGAAGAAGATAAACAACACCAAATGATATAACTAAGTCTATCGGTTGGCAAGACACTGAGACGTTGTCCCACTCCCACCTGCAGCATTCCGGTTCAGCAACCCAAGTGACAAGACACACCACAACGCCAAGCTAAGGTTTCACAACACGTGTTTCTCACCAGCAACTCGGAAAACTTCTTTAAGCTAAGAGAAATAATGTTATGGCTGACTAATGACCATCACCACAGTATTGACTCCTTCAAAATAGAGGTCATATCGCCCCTACTTTCAGTGTCCATGCTTGTACACACGTCCCGCCTTCATTTATAATTCTCTACATCCGTATCTGAACAGCCTCCGACCCGAGTAATTACACTGTAAAAATCGTAAAAACTACTGAAGTAATAACCCGGATATAATAGGTCTCCTCTGTACCCTACTAAATAGCAAGGACAAAGGAACCGAAAACACCACACAAAAAATTTTTACTCTTTAGGTTGAGGAATGTTCAGTCGGCATATAATACTAATATACCCACAGCTCCAAAGAGTAGTCATCCACGCTAACATTGCAGGTTGGACCCCTCTTCTGCAAGGTGCCATACTGTATCTAGGTACATTCACCCAAAACAGTCCTGTCGCGAACCATGAACCCCGAGATTCAGACTCTTGAATCCGAAGCATTTATAGACAGACTAATGTATCAGTGTCTACTGCTTCGGGTTCACGAGTCTGAATCTCGGGGTTCATGGTTCGCGACAGGACTTTTTTGGGTGACTGTACATTTAAGGAAGTGACTGTCCCGCATCAGGTATTAAGTCTAGAGTAGAGCCTTAAGTCGACCGAGTACAAGTCATCATGGTCTGGATCTCCGACACCACAGTTTATGGTTATTATACAGGTAAAGTTTGCGTCGCCAGGTACCCCAGCTATATAAATAATGGTATACAAGTAACCTAATAAATATATATTAAAATTCGGTATTTCAGGATATGTTGGGGAAATGCCTCTTTTTTTGTCTAAGATCCAAGCTATTTTATTGTGGGTAACCGGCGACAAGAGCATACCAGGTTTCACAAGAGATGTCATGAAATCCATCAAACATTATCTAATCGCGCATTCCAAGGTTCAATAAAGTTTGAATGGGCTATTACTGTCGTTATTATCAGCCAAGCAAAACGCCATTTAAAATACCGATTGAAAGGGAACATTAACTACGACTTGAGAAAAAGGCTTCTGAAAGGTTTTATACGGCAAGGACTGATGTGTGGGTCAGAAGCGTGGACATTTCACTGGACACCAGAAAGAGGTTGGAGGATATTGAAATGTGGTGTTAAAGGCGAATTTTAAGAAATACGTTACACTGACAGGAAAAAAAATGAAGACATACTATGGTCTGCAAAAACTTCAAGAGAAATACTTGAAATGTAAAGAAAAGGAAAAATTCGATACTAAGGTCATATAATTATGGAATGAGTGACTAATAACAGAGATATTAATGGGCAAAGTTAAAGGTAAACAGAGACTAGGATAGCGGAATTAAATTAAAAACTAGTTTCCAGGGAGATACAAAACCTGAGAGCAGTGGTTCTCAACCTTGTTTGCCCCATGCACTCCTTTCACCATATGTCAGAATGTGATTCCCCCCTCCTTTCCAAGATTGTCTGCCTCAAAAAGTGCATTCCAAATAATATGCATATAATACTGAAAATCCTTTATTTTTTCCATATTAGTATCAGTTTCCCCCCCTGAAAACCTGAGGGGGGAAATTCCCCCCTGGTTCAGCACCCCTGCCTTAGAGGATCAGTAAAAACAGCCCGAAAACGTTTAGAGTTGGAGCACTGTGGTCACCAACCCTGATGTGAAAGGTGTTATAAAAAAAATATATTACGTACTAAATGACACAGCAGTGCCTTACAAATATTGATGCCGGACATTTAAGATTCGGGAGATATGACAGGCGTCGAGAAGTGTCTGGTAACCAACACACTTCACATAATAACCACTCTTAAGCATATGCCGTGGAATGTTAATCACAACTAAAACATTAAGGCTCGAGACGTCTTTCATCCCACTTTAATAACACAACTTTGTAATTAAACAATGAAATAATGTTCTGTAATTGTGCGGGAATATATCTCGTGCACAGTCTATCCAACCCCACGACGTTCACTTTCTCCCATTATTTTACAAGAGTTTTCATTATGGTACAAAGTCTAAATTCTAGTTCTATACAATAAAGTACATAATCAAACAATAAAACAATCTATCCCATAATAAACTGACAGGAGGATGAAACTTCCGAGTCATCATGACAACACTGACTCATTCAATCAGAACTAGTGTACTGTAAACGTCACTGCGAACAACAGTAATGTTACCAACACCACTGTAACCTGGACAAATAAATTCCTTTATAAAATATCATCACCAAGTTCCCCGGGAGGAAGAGCAAACTGTAGCATCAAGGACCACCCTTACTACCAGCATCTCCGTAACAACAATCACATCGCACACTTACCAAGGAGAATCATGATCGTTGGTGGAATGCGGCGGCGAGGGAGCATAGTCTACCGCGCCGTCTCCTCTCCCTCTCTCTCTCACACAACCAACTCAACTGCTGTCAATTACAATCTACACCGAGACGTCCGCGTCCACAGGGTGCTGGGGGGGTGGGGGGGGGAGGGGGACTGGCGGACCTGACGATGGAAGGTGGAGGAGGCAGGGATGGGGAGTCTGGGGACACCAGTTACTAGCGCTTTACTCTACTGCCAAATATAATGTAATTTTGAATATACTATAGTCGGATTTTTCTGCTATTAAACAATACTAACGTTTAGCTGCGGAAACAAAAAATATCAATAATTATCTATCACCATTCAGATTAGATACGTCACTAGTAGAGTCTCATTATGACTCGACAAGAAGTTTTTCCTCGTTATTGCAGTTTTAGGGCGCCAGTACCCGTGGAATCTAATATGGAAACTACACATCCTGACACCCTAGCCGACGTTAATGGTACAGTGTTTACTTAGTGGTGGCCTTACATTTGCCTAGTATCACCGACGCCTTATCTAAGGATCCTGCTATCATAATCTGCTTCCCCAGCTTATCAGCAGCAGGAGGTTGGGAGGGGGTACACAGGGGAGGACCGCGATGACCTGACAAGCACAGGGATAATAACATAATGTGTAGCTAGGCTGATCCCGTACCCCTTCTGTAACTACTACACTCGTCGCTTCTCCTGACACACAAATCATGATTAAATCCGCCCGCTGCCTCTCTACGACCGCCGCCCGTGACGTAACACAACCCTCACCTCACTTGTACACACTTCCTCGCGGATACACACCATTAATCCCCTCTTAGCTACTTACGTGTTCACAGGCCATCCTTATCTTAAACCTCATGTGACAAAGTAAAATTCAAATGACAAATAAAGTCGAAGGTAGAGGTAGCGTGTCCACGAAGGAGGAGGTGTTATCCTGGGCGAAGAAATGGGTCTGGTCAGGGTAAAACCAACACAACAGGATAGTAAACACTGGGTCCATACTCCACACAAATAATACTCCCGGTAATGGTCAGTTGATTCCGCCCTCAACCTCGTCTGACCAACCATCACCACATCCATGAGTGTTTACCCTTTTTATTAGTATCCCTTATGATAATCCTCTGTCATTTCACGTTTATTGAACTCCGTGAAATACACACAGAAGACACAGAGGTGATAAGTCCGTGAGAAACTTTGTAAGTTCTCTAAGGTTGAGAACAACAGACGATTACCAAGTGGAGATTAACACATTCTCTCTCACAGCGTTAATGAACCCGTGTTAGCATAATGTGCCAATAACTAAGAGAAAAAAACACCGAAACATACGCAATGGTTTATTTTGTGAAAAGTGACAGCAGTCAAACAATTGACACAACGAATCAAAAACGCCAATGATCCTGTATAAGCTACAGGACATAAGAATGGAGGAAACTGCAGGGGGCCTAATGGCCCATACTGGGCAGTCCCATTTACACCCAACCCCTATTGCTTATATAAGCATCCAACCTATGTTTGAAGCTATCCATCGTATTCGAGTTAATGATGAAATTTCGTAACGTTCCACTCGTCCACTACTCTATTTCCAAACCAATGTTTACCTATTTCGCGCCTAAATCTAAATTTGTCTAATTTAAAACCATTGTTAAGAGTTCGCTCCTGGTTGGATAGTTTGAGTACCTTTGTAATGTCCCCTTTGTTTAGCCCTGACTTCCATTTATACACCTCTATCATGCCGCCCCTCGCTCTACGTCTCTCGAGAGAGTGCAAATTAAGATGCTTTAACCTGTCTCAGTACTCAAGGTTCCTAATGCCCGGGATTAGTCTTGTCATTCTCCTCTGAATTCTTTCCAAGGATTCTATATCCATTCTGTAATACAGTGACCAGATTTGAACTGTGTAATCCAAGTGAGGTCTCACAAGCGCAAGATATAGTCATAAGATGACCTCGCTAGTCTTGTAACTAACACTCCTTTGTATGAACCCAAGTACTTTATTAGCCTTGTTTCGAACAAAAACACATTGTTTACTTGGCTTAAGATTCCTACTTATCATTACTCCTAAATCTCTCTCGCAGTCAGATTTCTCAATAACAGCATTGTTCATCTGGTATCTGGTTTCCCTGTTTACATCTCCTATACTGAGTACCTTACATTTGTCCACATTGAATTTCATCGGCCATTTTTCAGACCATTCGAAAAATTTGTTTAGATCTTCCTGTAGTTTTGCGGAGTCCTCGTCAGATTTAATTACACGTCCTATTTTAGTGTCATCAGCAAATTTACTTATGTTGCTGTGTATGCCGATATCTATGTCGTTTATGTATATAATAGTGACGTTGCTCCAATGGGATTTAGTGCCGTTAATGCTCACTAGCTGTTTCCTGTCCTGTAACCACGCCCTAATCCATTTTAGAATATTACCTTTAATTGCCATGAGCCTTAACTTTTCTTATTAGTCTCTCGTGGGGGACTCTGTCGAAGGCTTTGCTAAAGTCGAGATATACCACATCATAATTGTGCCCCTCGTCCACCGATTCGAAAACTGATGAAAAGAATGTTAATAGATTAGTTAGACATGAACGCCCGCTTGTGAAGCCATGCTGGGAATCATTGATCAACTTGTGCTTCTCCAGGTGACTTAATAGAGTTTGAAATGATTGCTTCCAGTAATTTGCCTACAATTGATGTTAGACTGATTGGGCGGTAGTTAGAGGATAGTGATCTATCTCCCTTCTTGAAAATCGGTATTGCATTCGCTATCCTCCAGGATTCTGGTACTACACCTGTTTTTAAGGACATGTTAAACAACTTTGCTAATGGCATACTAAGCTCTTCCTTACATGCCTTTAATACTCTGGCAAACATCTCATCGGGATCAGGTGACTTATTAGGCTTTAATTTGTCTATTTGCTTACTAACATCGTTACTAGTCACTACTATCTCGCTTAATTTGTTTTCTTCACTATGTCTGTATAGAGTCGGTGCCTCGGGTATCATGTTTAAATTTTCGGTGGTGAAAACTGTTGAAAAATATTTATTCAGATTATTGCTCATTTCTCCTTCGTTATCAGTTAGCTCGCCGGTATCTGACTGTATTGGTTCTATCTTTTCTCGTGTTTTAGCTTGATACATTTGATAGAATCCCTTGGGGTTTGACTTCGCCTCCCTTGCTATCCTCGGCTCATTATTCCTCTTTGCTTTTCTTATCTCGGTCTTAACACTACCAGCCAATACCTTATAATAATCTCGGAGGTAAACTTCGCCACGATTTATCCTCCTACCTATAGCTTTCCTTTGATCAATAATGTTCTTTAAATAATTATTTATCCATTTAGGGTCATTGTTGTTTGATCTGAGTATTCTGTATGGTATGTTCTGCCTTTGTGCATTAAGTAATTCATTATTTAAATTGTCATGGAACTCGGCAACCTCAGATCTCCTTATCAGGTCAGTCTCAACCATCAAGTCTCCGGGTAGAGTGAGGTCGCCCGATGTGGGTACATTGTAGGTCACATCATGTGAGATCATGTAGTTCACCCCCAAGCGTGATACCCCTTCTCTCAACTGCCTCTTCAAACTATCAAAGTTTGCCCTGCTGAAATCTGGGACTTTCGTGGAATTTTCCTTACGGCTGCCCTGAAAATGTAACTGGAATCTAATTTCTTTGTGATCGTTGTTAGCAGGTTCGTCCCCTACCTCGACATTACTAATGAGGCTTTCTCTGTTCGACAGAACTAAATCGAGTATATTATTACCCTGGGTGGATTCGGTTATATGTTGACTTAGGAAACAGTCCTGGATCGTTTCAAGAAAATCCTCTGATTCTGAGTTACCAGTAAGGTTAATCCAATCTATTTGGCTAAAGTTAAAGTCGCCTACTATACAGACTTTGCTGTGTATGGAAGCCCTGCGCATTTCATCCCAAATAAGTCGCTCATTAACTCTATCAAGATTGGAAGGTCTATATATTACTCCTGCGATTAATTTTTCCCTACCGTCGATTAATTCTATCCAAATTGTTTCTGTATTCCGTTCAGTTATTATTTCCTTATTTATTTCACACTTCAGATTATCCCTGACATAGATTGCTACTCCGTCTCCTTTCCTAATCTGCCTATCAGTATGGAATAATTTGTAACCTGCTATTTGGTATTCGACAGGTAACTCACGTAAGTCTTGGTTCATCCATGTTTCGGTGAATGCTATTATATCGATTTTTTCGGTACATACCAAGGCCCTAATATCATCCATTTTGTTTCTCATACTTCTACTGTTTGCATAGTAGACATTTAAGTTAGTCCTCTCTTTGTCGCATATAGGTTTTAACTCCCGGTCTAATTTAGTTTTGTCATCATTCCTAACGCTATTTCCCTGTAACCTTTCACTTTGCTTACCCGCTCCCACTGCAGTCTCCTCCACCCCCGTGCTCATATGTTCCCCTAGAAGTTTAAAGACTTGGATATCTTTTGAACTGCTCTCTCGAGAGACCCAGCCAGGGTTGCCTCCCCATCCTTAGACAGGTGCACCCCATCCCTAGCATAAAGGTCCCTTCTGCCATAGAAGTTGTCCCAGTTGTCAATGAATGGGACTGATATTGACTTGCAATATCTGTCAAGACGGCCGTTGACACCAACTGCCCTTGACAACCATCCATTGCCAACTCTCCTTCTAGGTAGGACACCACATATGATAGGGATCCCTCCCTTTGTCCTAATACGTTCTATAGCTGTCCTGAACTTATCAAGAAGCTCCTCACTCCTACACCGACCAATATCATTGCCTCCTGCATTGAGGCAGATAATGGGTTTGTTCCCATTACCAGATAAGATATTGTCCACCCTGTCAACTATATCCTCCACCCCAGCTCCTGGCAAACACACCCTCATCCTATTTTTATTTTTACCACAAAAAGCTAGATAGCTAGCCTCCTTTTAAAACTTTCCAGCATTCCAGCACTTATTACAAAGTTGCTAAGCTTGTTCCACTCGTCCACCAAACTATTTGTGAACCAGTTCCTTCCTATCTCCCTCCTAAACCTAAACCTATCCAACCTAAATCCGTTG